TTTAGCAGAGACAAGGTCTCGCTCTTGCTCAGGCTGGTCTCAAACTCCTGAGCTCAAGCGATCCTCCAACCTCGACCTCCCAGAGTGCTAGGATTAGAGGTGTGAGCCACCATGCCGGCCTGTTTCAAACTTTTCATGATAAAAATTTGAAAATAGAAAGAACAAACTGTGGAGAGGTCTCAGTCTAAATTCTGAGGCAGGTATCCAGGGAGACAGCCCCACGGCGTGCTTGTGGGGCATTCCCCCATCAGCTTCTCCTGGGGCCATGTCACAAATTGGCATCTCCATCACCTCCCAAGCACCGCAGCTCCTCTGGAGGCCCGTAGCCATCATTCATATCAGCTCTTGTTACCTCCTGACCAAAGCACAGCGTTAGGGACCATCTGGGTCTCCAAGACGCTGTCCATGTGGCCCTAGGACTCATTTCTGCGTGTCCCTTCTCAAAATGGGACTGGGAGCATATATTCAAGGCAACTTGAGTCTATGCTCCAGGACTGCAGTCCTCAAACTTGGCCCAGATAAACTCTACTTATACTCAAAAAAAAAAAAAAAAAGTGAGACCCCCAGGATGCTAGCTAACCTATGGGGTCTTTTCACCTGACACTCACTCTAGTAGTCCCATAGATGGGAAGGATTCTCAGAGAAGGGCTTACCGAGCTCTAAGCAGCCAAGGACCCCGACGATAAGCCCCATCGAGTGGTACAGAGGCAAAGGTGTGTAGACCACATCATCAGCTGTGACCCCACCCAAGGACAGCATGCTGCTCATCTGCAGTACCCGCTCATGCGTGAGGATGGCTGGCTTTGGGAGGCCTGGGGAATGAAGGAATGGGAATGGTGGGATTGGGAAAGGACAGCATGGAAGAGAGGGGGTCTCCAGCAGTCAGGGCTGCACGGGGGGTTGAGGCTCTCAGAGGGTGGTCAAATATGGACATTTGTGTTTGGGTTCAGAGGCTGAAGTCGGACTGGGAGTAATCGGTCAAGACCAAAGGTCAGTAAAGGTTTCAGTGGCTGTTTACAGACAGAGGCAGGATTCTGGCACTGACCACTCAGATCACATTGGGGTCAGAGTTTTGGCCAATGTCAAGATCAGAGAGCAGCGTGGTTTCAGTGGTCAGTATTGGGACACAGGTCAAGCTTGGGGTCAGGTCAGAGTGAGAGTTCAGAGGCTGGGGCTAGGACCGCGGGGCACCCTCACCAGTAGTCCCGGAGGTGTAGATGAACAGGGCAGGGCTTCGCCGTGTGATCCCGGCACGAAGGTCAGCAGGTACTGGATCAGGGGGTGCAGCGTCCAGCGCTGCCCCCAGAGCCCCCACACCTGGTGTAGGGGAAGGATGACCGAAGTAGAAGCAGCGGATGTTCTCAGCCTGCAGCTTTGGAAGGATCTCCTCCAGGCTCTCCCGGAGGTCTGCGGGGATGGGTCAGAGGAGAAACTGAGGCAAGGCTCACCTTCAAGGTCTCGAGGGGGAACCTGAGACCCGCAGATAGGGGGTGGGGGAGACAGAGGAGTAGCTAACAGAGAAAAGCTTCTGCTTTCAACAAAGAATCCCAAAGAAACCCATTGTTAGTATTATTTGGTGAAAAGAATTGAAATATCCAGTGTGAAAAAAAATAAACTCTGGTGACCTCAGAATTACTTTCCAGTTATGGTAAATTTTGACTCTACCTGCCTGAAAGGGTGGGTGGGGGGATAGAAAGGGCCTCTTTGCCCAGCCCCTCCCAAGACCGCATCCTCCAGTTGGTCCCTTGCCCCCTTCCATTCATTCTCCAGTGGCTCCAGGGGCCCTCACCTGGGTCTACCACCAGCACCTGGGCTCCAGAGCTCAGCACTGAGTGTACCAGGGGTGCCCCGCGGCTATGCGGGTTAATCCAGGCTACTGGGCAGCCCAGCTTGGCCAGCCCCAGACACAAAGTCAGAGCAAGAATGCCCTGGGAGGGCAGCACCAGGAGGGCAGCGGACTCCCCGGCACACAGGCCCGTGGGGCCGCCCAGCTCGGCCTTCAGGGCCCACGCCGCCCGGCAGGCCTGGGCATCTAGCTCGCCAAAAGTGATGGAGCGGGCCCCAGGCCCCGTCCACACCAACGACACCTGGCCAGGCTGAGCTCTTGCATGTCGCTCAATTGCATCCACAAAGGTGTCGACCGGCTGTCGGCTCACACGCGCCCTGATGTCCAGGCCCAGGCGGAGGATCTTGGCCAGGTAGGCCACATCAGCAAACAGCCAACGTAGCCCTGGGGGCGGCCGTGCAGGAAGCAGGGTCAGTGCGAGAGACGCAGCCACCAAATCCAGCCAGTGAGGCACCCATGGGCTGCGCCAGGGCTGCAGCAGCATGGCCAGGCTGAGCAGCACACAGCATACAGGGTCCCCTAGGAGCCAGCGCAGGGCCAGGGCCACAGCTGCTGGCCACGCTGGCTGCCCTAGTCCCCAAAGCAGTAGCAGCAGTAGTAGCAGAAAGGCCAGCCGCTGCAGGACACCCATCATATCCACAGTCTCCTGAGAAGTGGCTGTGGAATGCCCAGGCTCACCTTTGTCCTTATTTTCCTACGTGATGACTTCTGGGAATCTGCTCTGCTCCCCTCCTCCCTGCCTCAGGTGGTGGCCTAGGCACTGTCAACAGTGGCTGCTCCTGTTCCCAGGACTCTGCCCCCCGTACCCCCCCCTCACACTAAAGGTCAGGCTTGGTTTGGGTTTTTTTTGTTTGTTTTTTTTTTTTTTTTTGAGACAGAGTCTCACTTTTTTGCCCCGGGCGAGAGTGCCGTGGCGTCAGCCTAGCTAGCTAACAGCAACCTCAAACACCTGGGCTCAAGCAATCCTACTGCCTCAGCCTCCCAAGTAGCTGGGACTACAGGCATGTGCCACCATGCCCAGCTAATTTTTTCTATATATTTTTAGCTGTCCAATTAATTTCTTTCTATTTTTGGTAGAGACGGGGTCTCGCTCTTGCTCAGGCTGGTCTCGAACTCCTGAGCTCAAACGATCCGCTCGCCTCGGCCTCCCAGAGTGCTAGGATTACAGGCGTGAGCCACTGAGCCCGGCCTTGGTTTGTTTTTTGTTGTTGTTGTTGTTTTTCAGGCTTGGTTTTGTTTGTTTGTTTGGGTTTTTTGTTTTGTTTTATTTTGAGACAAGTCTCACTCTGTCACACGGGATCGAGTGCAGAGGTGTCATTATAGCTCACTGCAACCTCAAACTCCTGCGCTCAAGTGATCCTCCTGCCTCAGCCTCCCAAGTAGCTGGGACTACAGGCATGCATTACCACACCCAGCTAATTTTTTTCTGTTTTTAGTCACTGGGCCAATTTTTTCTATTTTTAGTAGAGACAGGGTCTCACTCTTACACAGGCTGGTCTCAAACTCTTGAGCTCAAGCGATCCTCCTGCCTTGGCCTCCCAGAGTGCTAGCTAGCATTACAGGCATGAGCCACTGCACCCAGCAGGCAGTCTATTTGTTTTGCCCTGGATGGCCTTGTGTGTGACTCCAGCCCTCTGCCTGTGTGCCATCTGCATCAGCCCCTTCCTCCTTCACCAGGTCTGTCCCCCTTTGCTCTGCTGCTGGCTTCTGGGCTCCCACACCTCTGCCCCTTGGGCATCATCACCAGCCTCCTTCCTGCTGGCTGCTTGACCAGTCCATCCTCCAGAGCTAGCACCTGCCTCCCTCCCCTCACCTTCCAAACCTCTTGTGCACCAGGGACTTGGGAGACTAGCAGAAATCCCTGCCCTTGGGGAACGTTCCAATCAGGCCAAACAGAAAAACAACAGGATACAAGGCAGACCTGGACCTGGCCCCAAGTATGTCTTGCTGGTCCACCCACCTCACGGGGAAGTCCTCCTGTGATCCAAAGAAACAGCTTCCTGCCAGGTACACAGCAAGTGCTCAGTAAATACTTAATACTTGCATTATCTGAATTCAAACCCAGCTCTGTCCCTCACCCATGTGCCTGCTCTGATTCTCTGCCCCGCCCTGGCATCGATGATGAGGACGGAGTCCTGGGGTTCAGGAGACTGAACTCTACACGATGTGCTTGGTTAGACTGTAAAAGCCAGGAGGGAGAAAGAGGGAAGGGACCCTCTCCACGCTGGATGCCGGGTCCTGTGACACTAGCTTGCCACCAGAGGGGCGCCATCTCCATCTGCCCAGTGGTCAGTCCTCGCTGCTTCCTGCCCCCTACACAGCTGCTCAACACCTGCCCCACACCCTGGAACTTGGCTCCCAGCAGCCAGAGCAGGTATAGTGAGGCTCATCTACCCTACAGCCACCTGGTGCCAGAGACCTCCCCCAGGCTCCCCAAAAGTAAGGTGCTCAACCTTCATACCCATCAGAGTGGGGAGGTGGAGGCCTTAAGTCCAAAAGGCCCTTAGAGTTTGGGTGAAAGACCTAAGGGAGGGGCCTTGAAATCTACATGGTGGACAGCAGCAGCCAGGACTGTGACTGTGTGACCAGGGATTTCCACATGTGCCCTCCCTCTTCAAGACCCACCTCAGATGGGGCCGGCCTATCACCCTCCCCACAGGATCGGGGCGCCAGAAGAACCAAGTGCCAGTCATACATGCAGCCGCCGCAGCCCTCCAGACCGGGAGCCCGGGGTGGCAAAGTGGGTTGTCCAGTCTCTGCCCAGGAGAGCCTGGGGCCAGCATGGGAGCTGCCCAAGGACCAGCACGCTAAGCCCGGACACCCACAGCCCACTTATGAGGGTGAGGCACACACTCGTCCAGGAGCACACAGCTTCACCATCTAGGCCCCAGCCAACAGTCCTTTATTACAGAGTGGGGGTCCGGAGGCCCAGCTCCGTTCTGTGATGGGTCCACCTGAGCCTCCCCAGGCGCCCCTGAGGGAGCTCTAGATGGGGGTAGGGAGCCAGGGACCTCGCCCAGCCTAACACTGGGGCAGGGGAACGGCCCCAGGCCCCACCCCTGTCCCAGGGGGGAAGGAATCCTGGGCCAGGCTCCAAGGGTCTGAGCACCCGGTTCAGGCTGGAAGTGGTTCAGTTCTCAGAGGTGGTCCGGTCCCTGACCAGCCCCAGCCTGGCATCACCTGGAGGGTCTAAGTACGCAGTGGAGAGGAATAAGGTGGACCGGGCCCTAGTCAGGAGAAACGGGTGAGGAGAGAGGGAGGGCCTGCTCAGAGAGAGTGTGGCGGGCGTGGCCGACTGCGAGCTAGTGTGGTCGCTCCCCCCGTGGCCTAGGCCGGGCCCAGGACCGCAATCAGGGTGCAGGGTGTGAGGACAGGTGGCGCTCCAGCAGCGCACGGTGCGAGAAGACCTTGCCGCAGGCGGGGCAGGGCGAGCGCTCGGGCCGGTGCGTGCGCATGTGCACGTTGAGCGAGCTCTTCTGTGTGAAGCGCTTGGCGCAGACGGCGCACTGGAAGGCGCGCACGCCGGTGTGCGTGACCATATGCTTGAGCAGGTAGTCGCGCAGCGAGAAGGATCGCCAGCACACGGCGCACTGGTGCGGCTTCTCCCCTGCGGACGACAGGGCGGGCCGCGAACACACGTCAGATCTGCAGCTCCCCACCCACTCGGTGCCTGTACCTGGCAGGGGCTCCCCTCCCCTCCCGAATCATCACCCCGGGGATCCCTTACCTGTCAGGAAACCCTCCCCTCACTCTGGGACCTCCTTACCCAGCAGGGACAACCCCTCCACTCCCGGACCACCCCTCACATGGGGACTTTCCTGTCCAACGGGGACCCTCACACACGCCTAGATACCTCTCTCCCACCCCTGCCTGGCAGGGACACCCCTTTTTGTCATTCTGGGATACCACTGCCTGGCGGGTCGCCCTAAATCCAACAGGTACCTTCCAGAAGGGAACGCTGCTCGTCTGGAACATCTGTTGCCCATCTAGACTGGCCATTCATTTTCCCCTCCTCCAGGGACCCTCCCCCTCAACCCCTACCGCACCTGGCAGAGGGAGACACTACGGCCCAGCCTCCACTCCCCCCACGCCCACAGAGCCTTCAGAACTGTCAGATCGCCAGTCATGATTCTGGGGACAGTCTGACAAGGCCTAGTACCTTTTCACAGGGAGAAACCCGGCCACATGTCCAGAACCCCTGCCCGCTGGCCACTATAATGTCCCTGGAATGACAGAGCTGAGCCGGCTGCCCTCCTCACCCTGGGTTGGAGGAGGAGAGGCAGGCTGTGTCTGCCTCTAGAGTCACCAGGTGTTAACAAAACAGCTATCTCAGTGGCAGAAGTCACACACTTCTTGCACAGCCAACACTACCTTGGCGCCTCTGGCAGCTTCCTACTGGCTGATTACTCAGCTCCCCTTATTCCCAGGCCCCTGGCTTCTCCCCATCCTCCCCAAGGCAGCCAGAAGGAGATTTTAAGCTGTGACATCTCAGTCATTCCTTAGCTTAGAACAACGATGGCTTCCCCCCACTCACAGTCAAACCCCAAGTTCCTGCCCCTGCAGACACCCCCCCACACACACACTCACTCCCCATGTGGCCTTCCAGCCAAATTTTTGCTTTACCAGACAATGCCCAGCAGGCCTCTGCTTTCCGTATCCCTGCCTTCCATCTCAGCCTCCAGGGAGCACCCCACCCTCCCTGTGGCACACCACCACCTCAGGCCTTCTCTCCACACCCTCCCACTCTTTACCTACCCCCTCCCCCAGCTCTGCGGAGCTGCCTCTCGGACACACACAGGGTCTGAGGGAGCCTCCTTACAGCCTTCGGGGCCCTTTCCCCTCTGCAGGTGTGGGGTCCCCACACTGCAGCCATGTCCTCCTCCTGCCCCAGTCTCAAGGGCTCCTGAGGCCTTCATCCAGCAGCCTCTCCGCCAGCTTCGCACGCCCTAGGCTAGCTAACCCTCCCTTACTGCCAGCCCATAACCAGACTGCTGGCATCCAGAGAGATGCAGCAGGCTGCCCAGAGCGCGGCTCCCCAACCTGGCTAGGACACCCCTTCCAAGGCTCCACTGCCGGGGGGCTCCTGCTCCCCAACCCAGCCTCAGGACCCCTGTTCCGTCAGAGACCCATGTCAATCAATCAATCAATCAATCAATAAAAGGAAGAGAGGATCCCTATTCCATAGAAGCCAGCTCCTGGGGGGCGGGGGGTGTGTCAAACAAACAAACAAACAAACAAACAAAAAAAGCCAGCTCCTGCTGGCCACTTGGGCGGGTTCCTCTCCCCCACATGCCTTGCACTTGGGGCAGAGGCTTACTTTCCAGGCCTCCTGGAGTTACCAAAAAGCAACGGAAACGGCAATGCCCTGCACACAATGTCCAATTCCCCCTTGGGTTTGAATCTCCAGTGAGGGGGGTTGTTCCCTCTCCTCTCCCGCCCTGGCTCACCGGAATGTATGAACATGTGCTTGGTGTAGTTTTTCCGAGAGCTGAAGGTCTTTCGGCAGTGGCTGCACTCGTAGGCCGGCGGCTCCGCGCCTGGGGCACGCGCAGGAGCCCCTAAGGAGGCCGTCGCAGGAGCCACAGAAGGGGCCGGAGCCTCCCCCAGCTGAGAGGCGGGGGCTGCATCCGGCTGGAGTGTGGGGTAGAAGGCAGGTGGGGGTGCAGGCGCTGGCCCCGACGGTGCGGGAGGCGTTGGTGCGGGAGGCCCCGGAGCGCCCAGGTGAAAGGGGAAAAGCGCGACGGGCGGCCCTGGGGTCTTCACGCCTGGTGGGCGCGGTCCGGCCAGGATGCAGTCGGGCGGGACAGGGGTCTCGGCAGTACAGCCTTCAGCCGCAGCGCCGTCCTCCTCGTGCCAAGCGGACACGTAGCTATCTGGGAACACGTCCTCGGCCGCCGTAGCTCCGGGAAGGAAGTCCCTGCCGGCACCGCCGCCGTAGTCAGCAAGGCCGGTGGGCGCAGGCGGCTCCTTGCACGCGCTGTCAGAGGCGGCAGTGAGGAAGCCGGCAGCGCAGTCTGGGAAGGAAGGGGGCGCCTGGCCCTCGCCAGGGCCGCTGCCTTCGCCGTCCTCGCCGTCGGTCTCATCATCAGTCTCCTCGTCCTCGTCGTCACCTCGGTCGTCAGGGGCCTCGGGCAGTGCGGGATCGGCGTCAGACCCCTCGGCCTTGGTGGGCGCGGCGGGCGCAGGCAGCTGCAGACGCGCAGGCTGGCGCTGCTTGCGGCTGTGCGCCGTGCCAGCGTGCCCCGGGGGACGCGCGGCTAGCAAGTGGCGCAAGCGGTGCCGCAGCTGTGCGGGCGCGAGTGGCGGCGGCACGGGCGCAGGCAGGGGAGCTGGCGCGGAGGTGCCGGGGGCGCGAGCTCGCGCGATAATCTGCGTGCACTCGTCGATAACCGTCTGGATGCGAAGCACAGACGCAGCCGTGAGCACCTGCAGCGCTTCGCCCTGCGCCACCACTAGAGAGCCGCTGTACAGGAATTCGACGAGCTGGCGCACAGTCTGTGCGGGCACCACCGGAGGCACGCGGATCTCAGAGTGACCGAGCAGCAGCTTGTCCTGAAAGAAGGGCGAGCCGGCGGCCAGCACACAGCGGTGTGCCCGCAGCGAAGCCTCGCGGATGCGCACAGTCACGTCGCAGAAGTGCCCGCCCAGCCTCTGCCCGTTGAGGGTCTCGAGAAGCGAGCGAGAGAAGTTCTGCAGGTGTATGTGGTGCACCGCCTCTGCCGCCGCCATCTGCATGAAACGAGGAGGGCGGGAGCGGTCGGCCGAGGATCTCCCTCTGCCCCAGTGTCCCTGTCCCCTCACCCCTTATCACAGGGCGGGGCCCAAGGGTGCACCACACCCCCGGCCTCACCGACCCCATCCGTCCCCAGCAGCTCTTTACAGTCCCATTCCCAACACAGGACACACCAGCGCTCCCGCCTCCACTTTACCCCCAGGTCCTCTGCAGCGTCCTCCACCTCCGCAGACCCCAGCACACCCCTAGGAGAGGGTTGGCGATATTGAAGGTATGCCCCTCTCCCAGCCTTGCTCACTGCCTCAGGAAAGCTTCAGGGCTTGGCCTCCCCTATCTTGGCTCACCCACCTCTCCCCCAACTGCAATAACCTTAAGCCTCCCCATCTCCCTCTCCAAGGGGGCAGCCCTGTGTAGAAGAGGCCAGGGACAACACCCGCCCCCCCATCCAAACTAGCTAACCTGCCTCACCCAGAGCAGACCTCGCTCTCCAACCAGGTAACTTCGATTCCCCCACCCCACCTCTTTGGTTTCCCTTCACCACGCCCCCCCAATCTAAGGTCCCATGCATATCCGGGACTGCTGCCTCAGAACTAGGTTACATTAACTAGTATACACAGAGGTTTTTGCAGGGGGTGGGGTGGCACGACCTGCCTCCTGGACAGAGATATTTGGGATATGCCTGGTCAGAGAGGACCGAAGGTTGGGGATCACCATGGCAGGTGCTCCATGGGAGACAAGTACATGGTCCCTGGCCAGACCCCAGCCCAGGGGGCAAGGATGTGCCTCCTGCAGCCCTGGCTCCTTGCAATCTCGATGGGGCCTATGGGGCCCAGGGTGTGGGCGTGGCACAGAGGGGGGGAGTGTGTGGATATGAGCATGGGTGTGTGACTGGATGGGCGCAGGTGAAGCAGCAGCAGCCAGGAGAGCAGCATGGCTGAGCAATCAGGATGCTTCTTATGAACCTGTGGCTGCCTGATCCCGCGCACGGCCCACCCACAGGCACCAGAAAGGGAAGGGGGTAGTCCCAGGGGGCTCTGGGGATCTGAGAAGCTCTGCTACTATACCCATCAAGCCAGGTGACCCCGCAGTCATTCAGCCTCTGTTTCCCCTTCTATCAAACAAGGGATGGGATACTCGCTCATCCCAAACGCAGATTCTGGCACCACACCTCCAGTCTAAGAGAGAAGAATCCGGGCACAGGATGCACCCTGACATCCATATACTCTCCACCAGCCTGCCTCTCCCTTGGGGTCACACAGCCCCAGAGTGGGGCGCGCTTAATTCTGCCCCTACACCCTCGGGGTCTATTGGCGTCTCAGACTCAACGCTTCTGGCTCCTTATGCCCAAACCGCCTTCCTTTTGCTCCAGTAAGACCCCCTCCCTTTCTTGCATGCACCACAGATAACCCCTCAGACCCCTTTGCACACCTCCACTGTCCTGGTTGCTGCTGTCTTGGTCTGATGAGGTAACCTCCTTGCTGGTCCTCTCTGCGTCCCCCTCCTCCCGTTCTATTCCCCACGCGGCAGCCAGAGGGAGCCTGATCAGTCCTAACATCGGGACACACACCACCCTGCCCCCGCTCAGAGTACTCTATGGTGATGCATTCATTGCAATTCCTAAAATAAGACAAGCCTTTGCACGTGCAAAAGCTTTACCTCTGCCAGCAGCACTGTTCCCCATCTTTATTCACCTAACATCTGAAGGACTTCAAATCTGTGTCTGGGCGATGGAGAAGGAAACCTGTGCATCAACCCGCAGGGCTTGAACTCTTCCTTTTCCGACCCGCCCCCACCTTGCTCCCTGGCGGGCTCCGATTCCTCAGTCCAGATGCAGCAGGGCCTTCTTGGATGCCTCAGAACAAAGGACCACCTTCAAGACCTGACACCCAGGCCCACCCTCCGGGGTCTGGCGCCGCATACTCGCCGCCACGCCTTCGCCCACGCCGTGGACTTTGCTCTGAGCCCCGTCTCCCGTACTCTGCGCCATTGCTCGCGTCCTGCCCTGAGTCCAGAGCACCCTCTCTGATCTGCTACGGCTGCACCCGCTCCACTCCAGCCAACCTAGGTTTCCCGCCTCCGCACCCTCGTCCGCACTGCGCCCCGATCCTGCAGCGCCCTCTCGCGTTCGTAGCGCGCTCTTCAGCGTAGCGCGGGCGCCCCTCCTCTGGCACGCCCCGGCCTCCCCGCGGGCCCTGCGGCAGGGGGATGCCCGCCCGACCCCACCTCCGGCTCCTCCTCAGGCACCAGGCCGGGCCGTGGCCGCCTCCTGCTCACCAACGCCAAGGCCGCACTTCCGGGCCGCGACGCCAGCGGAACCGAAGCCCTGCGCCGCGTCCGCACAGGGGGAAACCCTAGGCCGTAGCACGTTTCCCGTATTTTTACGACGATCAGGTGCCGCAGTCGTCGGCAGGCCACACCTCTGACTCTTCTCAGCGTCGGAACCAAAGTCGCAGAAGCTGGGGCTGCCGCGGCGCTAGGAACCAATGGACCAGAGCACACTTCCGGCGTGGCCCTGGAGACTAGGGCGGGGGCGGGGCCTGCTGTAATTCCGCGCGCGCGCAGTAATGGAGGTTGGGAAGACAGTGCCAGCCCAAACCTCCCAACCTGGCCCGTTTATTTATTATTGTTTAATTTATTTATTTGTTTGTATTTTTTATTTTGTTTTTTTCTTTCTTACTTTACTTTCTTACTTACTTTTTTAGAGACGGGGTCTCGCTCTGTTGCCCATGCTGGAGTGCTTTGGTGCAATCATAGCTCACCGCAGTCTCCAACTGCTGGACTCCAGCGATCCTCGGGCACCAGCCTCCGGAGTAGCTGGTACCATAGGCACGTGCCACCACACCTGGCTGCTTTGAACCCCACTGTGACCCGGGGAAGCGCCCTTCTTCCTATAACATGCGTAGACGCATAAGTAGGTCTCGCCCCTGGCCTGTTGGACCCCAGCCCCGCGTGAGGCGCAGGTGACATACACCTGTAGCTTCCCCCAGGACCTCTGGCTGTGGGTGGGATAGGGAGTGGACCCCACTGTGGTGCTGGCTCCCACCTTCCACCCCTGAGCCTGGGTCCCACCCACAAGATGGAGGCAGCCTTGCCCAATGCCCCCACCCCTCAGACCACCAGGCCACCTACCCTGGGCAAGGACTGGACAAATAATGAGTGGATATTGCGCTGAATCCCTCCTGTGCACCACAGCCTGGGCCAGAGGTCAGAAAAGAAAGGGAATGTGGGGATGAGATGAGGTGGTAATCAAGCCAGAAACCAAAGACCAGAAGACCGGAGGGGAAAGAATCTGTGGGAAGAGCTGTCCAGGCAGAGGGAACAGCCTTGATCTGCGAAAGCCCTGAAATGGGGCTGGCTGTCCAAGGCACCCATGAACCTTGCCCACGAGGTGGTGGGCTGGCTTTGCTTTGTGCTCCACTCTTGTGGGTAGCCCCTTGGCCACTTTGTGGGGGCAGGCACCGCTGGGGCTGGAGAGAGGTAAAAGGGCCTGGACCTCAAGGTCAGAAGATCACAGGGCCTCAGTGGACTCTATACCTTATACAGCAGTTATGGAGTCCAGCATGAGGCTCTCAGCCTCCAGGAGGGAGACAGGGTCAGGATGCCTGTCCCTCACTCAGGGCAGCTGCTGGGTGGCTGTATTGTAGATGTGGTATTTGGAGGTCAGGGAGGGGCAAGTATATGCCAGGTGGGGAACCTCATTAAAACACAAGTCCAATGGCCTGCCTTCATTGTCTCTGTTCAGACTCTGAGCCCCACACCATGATGGGCTGGCCTATTGGGTCCGTTCCCATCAACCTTGACAACCTCCTCTCCTCCTCTCTCTGTGGCTGCATATTCCTCTTCAGCCTCATAGGCCCCTTGCTGTACCCAATTTGAGGCTGACCTGTGCAGTTCCCTCTGGCTGTAGAACCCTATCACATAGCTAAGATGCCACCACCTCCCCCAGGGCCCTCCCTGACCTCAAGGCTCCCCCTCATCTTCTGTTGCAGGGTCTGTGAGGGTATGGGTTCATCTGTGTCCTTCATCTTGGCACCTGCTGCTACAATACAGACAGGAACAGACAGCCACTTCACCTTGCCCTGGGCCTCCACTGATCCTGACCCTGTGGGATTGTGGGATTCTGGAACGTTGCAAGTTAATCTGATATGAGGGGGACAAAATTCTGAAAATGTTCCCTGCCCCAAGATTCTGTGTCCAAATCCAAAATATATCACCTGTGCATAGTTACACTACATGGTGAAGGGGGCTTTGCAGATGTAATTAAGGTTGTTATTAGCTGACCTTAAAATAGATGATTCTGGGGCCGGGCGCGGTGGCTCACGCCTGTAATCCTAGCTCTCT